AACTGTGACCTGGGAGATGTTAAGACAAATAAATCCTTTCCTCCCCAAGTTGGTAGTGGTCAGAGTGTTTTATCACAGCAATGGAGAGACAAACTAAGAAAATGACCAAAAGCAATTTGGGAAGGGAAAGGATTTATTTGGTTTATACTTCCAGGTCATAGTCCATCCCTGAAGGAAGTCAGGGCAGAAACTTAAGCAGGAGCTTGAAGCAGAAATCATGGAGGAATGAACTCTGCTTGTTGCCTCACTCGCCGGCTCATTCACTGTCCCACTCAGCTAGCTCTCTTATACAACCCAGGACCACCTGCTCAGAGTTGGTGCTGCCCAAGGTGAGCTGGGCCCTCCTATATTAATAATCACGACAATCCCCCACAAATATGTCCACGGGCCAATCTGAGCTGGGAAATTCCTCAATAGAGGCTTTCAGATGACTCTAGGCTGTGTCAAGTGACAATTAAAGCTAACTAGGACAATTAATTTCAATCTGTTTTGTTTTTCCTTTTGATCAAAGTGAAATTCCCACTAAAGAGAAGAAAGGTGGCCCACACGAGGGAATTAAACTTTCAACCAGTTTAAAATGAACACAGCCTTACTATCACGTGCAGAGATCTCACATAGATCTGTAACAAATGGGCCAAAGACCCCATACATTAAGCATCCCACCAACACTCAGAACAATAAGAGGTTGCTTCCCCAGTGAGAGGCTGGCCCAAGCCCCCTAAACCCACATGCTGCATGCTGCCAACTAGCAGAGTACCTAAGCCACTTGCCTCAGGGTGCTAGGAAGGTAAGTCTGGGGGCTTGGGTGCTAGCTACAGCTTCAGGAGCTGGGCTGGGGGCTTGACTAACAGATACAAAATACAAGGCAAGCCAACTGCACACACACACACATTCATCCCCACTCACCACTCTGACCCAAATTCCACAAATCTACATCTTCCCCTCACCACCACCCCTCCTTACCAGGGGCAGCCTGGATGGCCAAGGTGTGTGACTAAGAGCAGAGATCCCTCCCCACTATGCTGTGACTACCAAGCTCCTCTTGAGGGAATATGGTGGGCACAGACTGTCATCTTGAGAGGCAAAGGGAGGCAACCTGGAAATGTAACTTGAAGCTGGCCAGACCAGATCAGGGCACTGAAGTAAAGGAGACAATGGGTTGGCAGGCCCACTTCATAACCACAAGGGGCTGATGAGACCCCAGCATTCCCAGAAGGGTCAAAAGGATGGTAGTGGAGCCTTGACCTCAGTAGGATGGAAGTTGGTTACTTTTTCCTTGTCACTTTGTTCTCCAGGCTATGATGGGGTTCAGTGAAGTGTGCGATGAACAGAGGCAGGTGGAAATTGCTAGAGAAAATGTCTACAAGGATAAGTCCCAGAGAGCCATGTTCCCTGTGCTGCAGGGCATGAGGGTTGTTCTCTCTGTGGACATATCAGAGCAATCGGAAGAAACGTGCTCAGCTGATGACACCATTCCCCAGGTGTCAGTAACGTGCTTGGGCAGGTGGCACGCAGTGCTGGGGGTCATTTCTCCACCTTGGCACCATTCACATTTGGGGGTCTTCTGTTGTGGGGGATGATCTGGAGCACCACATCCTGAGATGTAACAACCTCTCCAGTCTCTATAGAAAATATCCTAGCTCAGAGCCAAGGACATAAAGGAATCTGCTGCTTTTCTAGCACTAGATGAGCATTTTGTGGAAGGAGTTAGGGAGAAGCAGCAGGGACAGAGACTCAAGTACGTCCAGGAGAGAAGGAAGCTTTGCTTCTTCTTTATCTACTCTCTTCCCTCTTTTAGAACCATAAACTAGGCTAATAGTCCTACTCAGAAAGTAGGGTGAAGGTCTGGGACTGAAGCACCCCTGGTAACAGTGTTGAAAAGCACCTTGAGTTTTATGAAATATGGAATAGTGCCCATTGCTAAGCTGGCTAATGTCTACAGTTGCAATTAACAGAGAAGGAATGTGTAAGCCCTGTGAAGGGATGGCACCCAGCTCTGGATCGTTCAAAGAATGAAAAGAGCTCCACAGTAGTTCAGGAAAGAAAGGCCACGCTGTGTGTGGCACGCCTCTCCACAGGCTCCAGCTTTGCACCAGAAACCGGATCTCAGCACACAACTTCTAAGCTTTTGCTACCAGGGCCAGTCCCAGCGACGATCCTCTGTGAACAGTATTCACCAGCTATTGACTATCTCTGTTGTCACTCAATGTGCAGTCTGGAAAGATCTCTCAAAGTCACTTAATAACCTTCTCGATCTCAAGAAAGAGAGAACCTACTAGTCAGCATGCTGGCGCCTCCTGACCCGGAAGATGGTCCTCTGACCCTGTGATGACAAGCCATGGACCCGCCTCCTTCCCACGGTCTACAAAGAAGCCACGCCCCTTCCCTCTTCCAACCAATCGGTTGACTATAGACGCTTGCAGGGAGGGGCTAAGGGTATAAAAGCTGGGAAAACCAGGAGGCTGGCCTCTTGCCATTTTGTAAGGCTGTCCAGAACCACAGGATTTATGTCTGGGTGTGGACTTTCAGCATCAGCTGTGAAGGGGGGGGGGGGGCACTCGTCTGTAGTAAACCCGCACCCCATGCTCAGTTAGCAAGTCCAATAAACTCGTTAAGATTCTTCAAACCGGGGTTTGGAGAATTCTTTTTTTTTCTCAGGCTATCTCAAGGACCTTGGGAGGAGGGAACTGGATGCCATATGCGACTCCCAGCAGTGAATTTGACTTACACACCAGAACCCAGATCTCAGCACACAACTTCTAAGCTTTTGCTAACAGGGTCAGTCCCACTGACAATCCTCTGTGAATAGTATTCACCAGCTATTGACTATCTCTGTTGTCACTCAAGGTGCAGTCTGGAAAGATCTCTCAAAGTCACTTAATAACCTTCTCGATCTCAAGGGAGATCCTACCAGTCAGCATGCTGGCACCTCCTGACCCATGGTCCACATGCTCCTAGATACCCAGGACCAAGTAAAGGAGAAGTTCCTTTCCAAGCAGAGCAATAAGGAGAATTTTGCTTCCTTCCCCTTCCACGCTATCTCCCTACTATGCCTCTTGGTTGGTAAATACATGACCATGGTACATAGAGCCAGGACATAGTGCCTAAGAGCAGTGATAGCAAGCAGGGGTAGGGCTGAATCTGCACCAAGGAGACAAAGATTCACTTAGATTCTTCAAGAAGAAAGCAGATGATGCCTCAGTCCAGGCAAGTCCAAGAGGACGACAAAGGAAGGAACCCAGGCAAGGAACCAGAAAAGCTGTGTCACCCATACAGGAAACCTGAGCATTTGGGGGGCCCCTAGAGCACAAGGGTAAGATATGGGTAAATTTGAGAACCATCAGCTACGCTGATTGTTCAGGAAGTGGAACTAAGGTCTAGGACTGACACCCAGCTGGATACAGCCTTGATATTTTGTGCAGACTTGAGAGCTGCTTATTATCAGTGGCAATGTGAGAGAGTTGTACCACATCTACCAAAGTGTGGTTGGCATTCACAGGCCTTATATTAAGGCAAAGCGAAGACAGTCAATTCCAGAGTGGTTCTAAAACTGTTGCTATAACATGACTTCCATTGCCCTCTTTCTTTAAGCTCAGAACTTTGGAAGAATTTGCTCTCTCTTTCAAAATCAAAGCTATCCTTGTACAACAATTCATGAGTGTCAGGGCTAGATAGTGTGGCTACCAGGCTGCCTGAGGATGACAAGCCACCAGAAAAACCACTGTGGTATAAAGAAATCAATCAAGTAGTCCAGAGAGGCTGGCTAGCAAAACTGGAATCTGAGAGAGACTGAGGAAGGTAGCAAGAGAGGGTGTAGGAAGCCAAAGGGAAGAGGGACTGTTTGGGCCAAATGGTCTCCCCCTCAATGCCCCATCCCACCTGCACTGTGAGCGTGAGGTGCACACAGCAGCACCTATCGTTCCTTATTGTGCTTACCCTGCCCACAAGGATCGCCAAGCCATTGGCTTCCTGGGCAACTCTGTAGCTCTAATGAAGCAGGATCCTGCCTGCCCTTTTGAGAATTGCCACTCTACACTATTCATTACAACTGCCACCTCCCATACCTACAACCAACTCTCCTAAGTCAGGGAGAAGGCAGTGACCACGCAACCCTGATCCTAATGAAGGGCACTCCATAAAATATGTGCCTCCTGCTACTCAGCAAACCATGGAAGATGAGTTCTGGATAATGCCTCCTCTGCCCTCCACTGACAGTAATGATTTACACTTTCCTAAATTCACTAGGTTCCAAGTGTCTTGGTAAAAGTCACTAGAATTACAGATTGTAAAATGGGCTCAGAACACAAAGTTCCAATAGCTTTGGCCTCTCACATTAGATTATGGAACACTTTATCTATATATCACTGTTTTACCAAGGGAAGAAAGTATTTTAGAGCAAGAAATAAAGAGAAACCTTTAAAAAGCCCAAGCTGAGGAGACTTACTTGACTGTTTGTAGCAGCATACACCCCTAGAGTTCAACTTATTCCATCTGAAAAAGCACCCACTACTTCCCATCCCTCTAGTCCCTTCAGCTGATTTGCAATCAAGAACTACAGACACCTTTAGAGACCTATGAGGGCATTACTTATCTCCAGACCACCTCCAGGACCAGGTTTAAGCTAAGGTCTATACATAACCCAGTGTTGAGTGAATGAAGCCAGACACAAAGGAAAAGCATGAGTGTGGGTGCCACAGCTAGCAAAACTAATTTGGGCTAATGACCAACATGCAGGCAGTTGAAACTTTCATAGAGGGAAGAACTGAACAAGCTTTTGGAAGGCTTCAGGATACTGGTCGTATGTGAGAACTCACTGGGCTACATGTATACAAGTACTTTTCCACATGCTACTCATCAACATAGAATCCTTGGCACCTATGAATTGCAGTGGGCTGACAGAACAGCTATCCTGCCTTCTGGTCCTTGCCATACTCTGCCTGGCTTTGGAACTCCAGTGCACTCCAGCAGCAGCACCCCAGATGGCCCAAGCCCACACTTACCGGCTGCAGCCCGTCTTCCTGCCTCCGGCTCTGACTGGGGCGATTGATGAAGGAACGTGTGGAGACTTTGTAGTGGTTCAGCAGGCATACAACAACCACTACCATCACTGTGACCACCACGACGATGATGAGGACCTGTGCAAACTCCAGCTCCGCTGCAAGGAAGAGGAAGGCAGTGAGCGATGCCCTGGCACCTGCACACTTGCCTGATTCTATGGTGACTGCAGCTGTCAGGCAGTGAAGACCCTTCAAATGCATCTGGTCCCCATGGCCTGGAGAGGACAGAAACTACGTCCACATTTTAGAGAAGAAGAAAATATAGTCATAAAGCCTGCGTGTGGCTGGGCTAAGAGTGACACCTAGCTCTGCCTGTACACGACTGTAGGTAACTGCAGGGCTATGACATTATAACTTTGAAAAGAAAAGGACACTCTGGGAATGCCTTTCCCACAGACCTATGCTGCTAGGTTGGTAAAGTTCAAAGACCTGGCCCTTGAACTTAAGGCCTTAAGAAAATGTGCTAGCCCTACCAGACCGCCAGAGGTGCTGGCTACAACTTTCCTCAATGACACAGTAGAGTTCTAAGTCAGCCCAGTGAGCTTACCACAGGCAGCTGCTAAATTGACACCTGCTCACAGTGGATCAGCCTCAGGACAGCTCAGGCTTCTGTCACCTTGGCTCCCTTCCTGTCAGATGGTGTCTTCCATCTCTCTGCTCCAGCAGAGTTGAGAAAGTCTCTCAGAACTGAGCCTACTTCTACTGGTATGACCCCTCTAAAAAAACAATCTCATTCTGCATAGTTAAGTCAAATTTCTCAAAACATCTCACAAAGCCATCCATGAAAGGGACCGTAAATGTTAAGAAGCCAGCTCTGGCCTCCAGTCCTCAAAGGATTTGCCCTTGCAAGTGACTCAGAAAGCACATTCCCGTCCTGAAGTCATAGTGACTGAGTCACTTCTAGGTTTTCAAGACTAACTTTACAAAGGATGTTTCTGCGGTCGTTAAAACACCCTGCACGCACAAATACAATGACTTCTAGAGTGGGAGTGTATGAGTCAGATACAAGTGATCCAGAGCCCTGCTCTGCAGAGAGAAAGCAGATTCGAGTTCAAAGTTAACCCTAGAACCCAGACTTCATTTTGTGGCCCCCAGCTTTTGGCTCTTCTGAGGGCTGCCCATGGTTTCAGTTTGAATCTCCCCAATACCCTAAAAGGAAAAAATAGGGGAGAGGTTTGGGAGCTGGGAGAAGATCGCTCTCTGGTGAGAGACAGGGTATGTGTTATAATGAAGGTCAAGAAACAGAGGGGAACTTTGAAAGACAGTCATCACTCTATGTCAAGACACTGATTGTAAGATAGCTTCAGTGGATACCCAAAGCTCATGTCTCTTATATGAAATGTAGCATTTTCATATGCAAACCCTTCAGCACACTCTAAATCATCACTAGGTTAGTCATAATACATGGTCCAATGTGAATGCTATGCAAGTACTCTGCTGTATCATTTAAGGAATTATGAAAAAAGTCTGTACATGTTCAGTACAGACATTTTTCCAATTAATTTTTCATTTGTGATTAGTTATATCTATGGATGGAAGGCCTACTGAACTACCTTGAACTCACGTACACAAACATATATGCACACACCCTGGCTGCAACAGGCTGCCAGCCAGTGGGGAAAGCATTATTGCCCAGTATGTGAGTTCATACCTGGGATGATTGTGAACAGACTTGCATCCCAACCCCCATTGTCTACAGCTATATGCAACTGATCTGCATAACCAGGGAACAGTGGCAGGGTGGCCCTGAAGCTAGATGGAATCCTCCTGGATCCCACTACATCCCACCCTTTGACACTGACCTCTACTCCAGTTCTCACACCCCATCCACTGTAGGGACATAGTCAAGCATGCCTGTTAGGCAGGGCTGGACTGAATTTATGACTGGAGTCTATAAAACTGGGGGATGGCCTTGGTGGCACCCAAGCATGAGGGTGCTGAGCCACCACATTCAGAGCAGCTAGGCCCAGAAAGATTTCCCAGGTACCCTCCCTAACTGGCAGGAGAATGTCAGAGAGAGCCTCACTCTTATTAGGGAACATGAATGACTCCGGGAGGTAATGTGGGCAGCTCTTGAGGTTGGCAAACAGCAAGGCCTGGTGCTGGGCTACCTACCCCAAATAGTTGCCATTACTCTGAATGTATCCAAGATCAAGTGGATGACTGGAATACCCTTTAGGGAACTAGACCCCAGCTTACATCCAGGAGCTTGTCTGAGTGTCTTTACTACAGGAAGAAAAGTCAAAGGGAACCACTAAGTTTATATGTTCCATAAGGAAAACTCTCTAGGGTTTATTAGAAATTTTCAAGGTGGTAACCCCCTGGAAAAGACTAAAATGCTCACTGATAGACAGCAGAGGCATATGCCTTTTCTTTTGTAGCTGAAAGGTAAATGTGACTTTGTTTATGCCCATAGCTGAAGGTACTGTGTCATAGTGTTAACCCACAAATACTGTCTTAATGAATATGGCTTTCATAAAATCTTCCTATGTCTAGCATACGTTGGCTTTGGCCCCATGACTCTCAAGACTCACACACATGCACCATGTGATTCCTCCTTGGCCACATGTCTGGAACCCCTCCCTGCTTCAGCATTTCTGACATGGTCTTTTCAATGTTTTTCATAAAACTATGATCATAGTCAACTACAAGCTTACTTTGTATTCTCAGTGTGTAGCACCTGCTGGTGCCTGGCAGACAGTTAAAAGTGAAACACAGTGGCTCAGGAGCATACTCAGACCCAGAGCAGGTGCTCACACATAGCCGCAGTGGGCTCTCTCTGAGGACAGCCATTGTTGACAAGACAGGCCTACACTGGCTACGGAAGACGATGACAGCACCCCTCCAGAGCCCTGGAGAGCTACACCGTGGGGCCAAACACCAACCCATGGGCAAACACCTCAATGCAGAGCTTGAAGGAGACAGGGAGTTAGATGTGCTCAGGCCAAAGGCAGTAAACATAAAATAAAGGCTGAATCTTAAATGAGGCCCCATTTTACCAACTTCATTTTTATTTCATAGAGAGATAGCAGAATATCAGAAACTATTCGGGTTAAAGCATGTACTAGCATTTACCAACGCTTCCCTTTCTCAAAAGAAGGTACTGCTGTCCAGACATGGAAGGAGAAGAAAGTGCTAGTAAAGTGGGGCACCCTGCACAAAGGCCTCATGGGTCAACTCTTTCCAGATGATCTTTTCCTGGATATGTAAATTTGTGCAGATGTTGCAAAGAAAATCAAGTTGAATTTTCCTAATTCTATAAGCATTTTTTGTATAAATTAATTTTATCTGAAAAGATTTTGTTATAAAAATAAGGAAAACTTTCTGAAAACTTCAATACTATAGAAGAAACAGTGACATTCCACTGAAGTCCTGCAGCAACTCTCTGATTGCAGCCGTGCCATGTAGTACTAGAGGGATGTGTAGTCGTCAGTGTGTGTGCCTACTAAATGCTTTCTCCTTTTAATTATGTCCAAAAGATTGTGTGTGGGGGGGGAGAGAATATATGTGGGTGCTGACACTTGTCAGTATGCCAGAAAGAATGATTCTTTAAAACTGAAATTTCATTTCAAGAGGACAGTCATTTTTAGTTCTTTTGGCTGTGAGTAGCACTTTACAAGAAAGCTATACTAAGTTGTCAGGAAGAAGGAGTGTTAGCTAGTCCCATACCCTCATTATTACTGGAGACTGGCACTTTTCTTTTTTAAAGATTAATTTTAATTATGTGTGTATGTGTAGGACACGCACATGAGTGTGGGTTCCTACAGAGGTCAGAAGAGGGCATTAGATACACTGGAGCCGGAGTTACAGATGGTGTGAGCTGCCCAATGGGGGTTGTGGGAAGGGGGTAGGGGACAGGTGCTGGGTACTGAACTGTGTCCTCTGCTGAGTGTAACAGCTAAGCCATCTCTTCATCCCCTTGCCAGTTTCACTTATACCAATTTCATAGCCAAAAATATATATCTCACCAGGCAGGATGGCCAAGATGACCTGCCCAGCATTTGAGAGGAGGAGGCAGGAAAATTGTGAGCCGAGGCTACCCTTGGCTACCATAATGAGACCCTGTATAAAAAGTATAAAATATAAACCTTATTTTTTGTGTATAGTGTTTTGCCTGCATGTACCACATATGTGCCATGCCTGTGTAGGCCAGAAGAGGGCACTGGATCCCTTGGACCTGGAATTGGGGATGGTTGTGAGCCACCATATGGGTGCTAGGAAATGAACCTGGGTCTCCTGCAAGAGCAGCAAGTGCTCTTAATCACTGAGCCATCTCCCTAGTCCCCATGTACCGTGTCTTACTTAGTATTACCCCAATTACTGGCAATTTCAGATCTTCTATAGTTATGGTAATTTATGCTTACTTTTTTTCATAATCATATTAGTTCACATTAGTTCACTTATAGTTTTCTCATTAATTTCTCATGTAGTTATAGGAAATATTTACACATTATGGCTACAAGTCTTTGTTGTATGTGTTGCAAATATTTTTCTCTCGCCTGTCATTTCTTGAAGTTTTTCTTTGAGTTTCTCTATGGATGATATAATTTTTATGGCATCAATGACTAATGCTTTTCACTAAGGCTCCTAAACTAACATTCTAAAGATTTTCTTCTAAGAATTTCTTGTTTATCCTTAGATCTTTATTTGTGCTGGGTTCTATACTCTGGGTCTGAGACGGTACAGAACATTCTGAACTATACGAAAGGCATGCATCTTATCATTTAGTATTTAAAAATTCAACCAAGAAGACTTGCTCTTTTGGAGTTATTGGCCAGAGAGATCCTTAGACCCTCAAATAATACTGGTTATTGCCACTGCACTTGGTTACCTACCAGAACTTGATGGTAAGACCCTACTGCTGAAGACACTATATACCTGATTCACAGAACAAACAAGAAGAAATCAAACTGGGACTGACTTCGAAGCTTCATCTCTGCTGGCTAGCTTTCACAGTATTAGAAGGTTCTATGCATGGGTTTACTGGCAGAGGAAGGTAGTCATCAATTGTGAACCCTACAAGCAACAATAACAACTAACTTGGCAAAACATGGCCACTGGTACAATAGTGGTGCAAATTATAGGAGTAACTAACCAC